TATTTAAGTACTTACATAATATCTTTTAATATTATCTGTTGGCCCACAAAGCCTAAAATATTTACTGTGACTTCTGATGCCATATCCCACACTTGAATTGAGTGGGAAGGATTAGACATTGGTCATGAGTCAGATTTCAAGAAGTGTGATGTATATAGCCTACCTTATTGTCCAGGATTTGTAAGAGTAAAAATTTCTAAATTTCTACTTCTAATATTACAAATGACTGCAGAATAAAAAGTATGAATTACTATGTGGTTTACTAACAGAACGCCAATATCCAAATTATATAACTTTTTTTTTTTCCATTACTGGGACTGGCTTAAAAAGTAAATCTCATGTTCTAAGTACTTACACAAAAATTGTCACTGAAATGATAACCTATTGTTTTTTCATCTTCAATAGAGAAAATATAAGGGTTGAGTACTTATGAAAAATTGGAAATAATAATTTTAAGCACTGAATTTCAGCTCTCCTTCATTATATTAAATTTTCTGCTTTGTTCTGGGATGTAGTTAATCTGTAGAGTGCTTGCTTAACCTGTACAGGGACTTGGGTTCAATCCCCAGCACCACAGAAACAGCAAATAACACTAGGGTAAAGACTGACATTTAAGCCACCTTAAAATTTTTTTTTTCCTGCTTTGTGTTGAGTCTTACTTTTATGTGTTTGAGAAATATTAAAGAGATATGTAATGAACCTTGAACTCCTTAAACCTTACTGAAGAGCTAATACTCAGAGTATTAAATAGCATAAGACATACTGTAACAGTAAACTAATCAAGTGTTCATTGAAATATTGTTCAGTAGAAGATTCTGATTAGTTATGGCTGAATTTCGCTGCTTCTCCTCTTATTGTTTTTTTTTTTTTTAAAGAGTGAGAGAGGAGAGGAGAGAAGAGGAGAGGGGAGAGAGAGAGAGAGGGAGAGAGAGAGAGAGAGGGAGGGAGAGAGAGAGAGAGAGAGAGAGAATTTTTAATATTTTATATTTTAGTTCTCGGCGGACACAACATCTTTGTTGGTATGTGGTGCTGAGGATCGAACCCGGGCCGCACGCATGCCAGGCGAGCGCCCTACCGCTTGAGTCACATCCCCAGCCCTCTCCTCTTATTGTTGATTTAGAGGTGATGATCACCTTTTCTTAGATGATTTTATGCTTTGGCTATAATTACTTCTAAACTATTTAATTTTCCCTTTTTCTGTTTTCCTTCTTCATTTTATGTTGCATACTTTCAAGATAGGTTGTTTGAATTACAAGAATTATCGTGGATAGTGTGGAAAGAATTATGTGGATTGTTGTTGAATTATTTGACTAATTCAACAACTTCCTTTTTATAAAATAACATCAGTTTCAAGGTAAAGCTTTTTCTTGTTACTTAAAAAAATTTTTTTTTAGTTGTAGATGAACACAGCATCTTTATTTATTTTTATGTGGTGCTGAGGATCAAACCCAGTGCCTTACGCGTGTGAGGCAAACACTCTACCACTGAGGTACAGCCCTAACCCTTTCATGTTTCTTTATTTGCTCATAAAAATTTCTCGGGGCTGAGATTGTGGCTCAGCGGTAAAGCGCTCGCCTAGCATGAACGGGACCCGGATTCGATTCTCAGCACCACATAAAAAATAAAGGCATTGTGTTGTATCCATCTACACCTAAAAATAAATAAATAAAATATTAAAAAAAATTCTCTCAAAGGGGTAATATTATCTTCTTTTTCTTTTGGTGCTGGGGATTAAACCCAGGGCCTTGAACCTGCTTAGCATATGCTCTGCCAGTGAGTTATACCCCAAACCTTCAATAATTTCTTTCCCTTCTAAGAGGTCTTGTTCTACTGTCCAGGTTAATCTTGAAATGATCCTCCTGCCATAGACTCCTGAGTAATTGGAACTAAATGTGTATGTCATTGTGGTTTTCTTTTATTTAGTAGTATAGGGATTGAACCCAGGGACTTGGGCATGCAAGTGCTCTACCACTGAGCTACAACCCTAGCTCTTTTTATTTTTTGTTTTGAGACTGGGTCTCATCAAGTTACCCAGACTACCCTAGAACTTGTGATCTTCCTGCCTCAGCCTCCCTAGATTACCAGTGTGTGCCACTGCATCAACCCTCTTTCCTTTCTCTTTCCCTGTCTGTTTCTGTCTCTGTTTCTCTTGAAGCAGAGTGGGGAAATCGTACCTAAACGTAGTTCTTCCATGTGGAGATAGTAGGATAAGCCTCAGATACCTTTAGAAACCATTGTAAGACATAAGGTGTAATGGAGGTTAACTAGCCTAAAACTGAACTTAAAAAAAAAAAAATCAGTTGATTTGAATTGAAATTTGAATTTAAAAAGTACTCTGTTTTGGCCAAATAATACCAGGTAGGCTGCTAGTTTTCTGCCTTTGTTCTAACTTAGTAGAATCTTATTATTAGTCTCTTTATTTGTATTGGATATAATTAATTATAATTCGACTTCTTAATTTTCTTTTTTTTTGACTTCTTAATTTTAAAAGCTTAAGTACTTAAGTAAACTTTTTTCTTGAGAGTGTTTCCATTCAGTAAGCTATAGCATAATATGTTCATTAGTAAGCATCACTGTACTCGTCAGTATTGCTTTTTTTTATCTAGTTGGAGAAACAAATGCAAGAGCTTTTTAAATTGTGTACATAAATCTTACAGTGAAATTTGGAAAGTTGATTATAATGCTGCATAAATAAATGATGCTTAGGTCTCAAAGTAAATTCATAAATTTTTCTATCCTGTGTTACAGGTACCCTCAGAATTTTACTGATTCTGTGTCGAACCATTTTTGTGGGAGTAGTTTAATTTGTGTTTTCCTGACAACTAGTAAAGTTCAGCATCTTTCTGTGTACTTATGGCCTTTTCCTCCCCCTCCCTTTTTTTTTTTTTTTTTTGGGGTGGGGTGGTGCTGGATATCAAACCCAGCCCTCACTCATGCCTGGCAAATATTCTACCATTGAGCTTGTGCTCTACCACCAGCTCTGGGTGCCTACATTTTTTTCTTTTTCTTTTCTTGGGGACCGGGGATTGAACTCGGGACAACTTAACTACTGAGTCACATCTCCAGCCCTTTTTTTGTATTTATTTAGAGACAGGATCTCACTTGCCATTGGTGAGGCTGGCTTTGAACTCGTAATTCTCCTGCCTTAGCCTCCTGAGCCACAGGGATTATAAGTGTGTGCCACTGCGCCTGGTTTATATTTTTTCTTAATGGATTGTCTGCCCTTTTAAATTTTTTTCCCTTCCACTGGGTGTATGTAGGATTCTTTTCATATTCCAAACATGAATCCCTTGTCAGATATGTTGTCAGATTTATATATATATATACACACACACACACACCAGTAATTGTCCCCCTTCCCTCTGCTGGTACTGGGGATTGAGCCCAGGTGGGCTTTGCCACTGAGCTGTGCCCCTGCATCTTTTTATTTTGAGACAGTCTTGCAAAGTTTCCAAGGCTGGCCATGAACTTAGACAAATCTTCCTACCTATAGCCTCCCGAATAGCTCGGATTACAAGTGTGCCCAATGATACCTGGCCTTGCCTAGTAATTATATTTTAGAATTTTACATTTATTTTAGCTTTTGAGTAAGTAGTACTTTTATATTGGCTCAAAAATTAATTAAGTCCACAAAATTACATAGTGAAAATCCTCCTTCCCACTCCTTGTTCTCATCTAGTTCCTGTCTCTCCAATAGGTAGCATGTGTTAATAGTTCATTTTGTCTTTTAGTTAAATCCATTCATTGTTGGAAAGAATAGCCTCTTCAAAGAAATGATGTTGGAACAATTGAATATTCAAGTACAAAACAACGAAGTTGGGCCTTTCCCATGCATATGCAAAAATTAATTTAAGATGGATCAATAAGCCAGTGGTGGTGTGTACCCCTGTAATCCCAGTGGCTCTTGAGGATCATGAGTTCAAAGCCAGCCTCAGCAATGGCGAGGTGTTAAGCAAGTTTGTGAGACCCTATCTCTAAAAATAAAATACAAAATAGGGTTGGGACTGTGGTTCAGTGATTGAGTACCCTTTAGTTGAATTCCTAGTAGACCCCCCCCCAAAAAAACGATGGATCAACAACCTAAAAATAAAAACTGAAATCAAAACTCAGAAAAAAATAGTATATCTTCATGAACTTGAGATTGGAGATGCATTCTTAAATATGAGCAACAAAAGGAAAAAAATAGATAAATTGAATTTCATCAAAATAAAAAACTTTGGTGCATTAAAGGAAAGTAAAAAGATAACCTATGAAGTGTGAGGAAATATTTGTAAGTCCTATATCGGATAAGGATGTAGTATCCAGAATGTTTAAAAAACTCTTAACAAACTAATAATAAAGACAGATAACCAAATTAAAAAGTTGGCCAAATATCTGAATAGACAGTTCTGTAAAGAAGACATGAGCAAAAAGTGCACATGAAGGCGGCGTGGTGGCGTAGGCCTATAATCCCAGTAGCTTGGGAGGCTGAGGCAGGAGGAATTCGAGAGTCAGCCTTAGCAAAGGCGAGGCGCTAAGCAACTCAGTGAGATCCTGCCTCTAAATAAAATACAAAATAGGACTGGGGATGTCGCTCAGTAGTCGACTGCCCCTGAGTTCAATACTCATTACCCCCACTCCCCAAAAAAGCTCATGAAAAGATGCCCAAGATTCTTTGTCATGAAGAGAAATGTAGCCCTGGGTGGGAATATAGCTCAGTGATAGAGTGCAGAGCCCTGGGTTTGATTTTCAGCATTGGAGGGGAAAGTAAAAAGGGAGGGGTGGAAGGAGAAGAAAGGGAGGAGAAGAAGGAGGGAAGGATGGGGAAAGGAAGACAGATACCATTTTATGCCAAGTAGGATAAAACTGGCACCCAGTGTGATGGCTGAGGCAGGAGGATCATGAGTTCAAAGGCAATTCAGTGAGACTCTAAGTAAATACAAAAAAGGACTGGGGATGTGGCTCAGTAGTTGAGGGCTCTCTGAGTTCAATTCTCAGTAACAAAACAAAACTGGTAGTGCTTGCTTAGGCAGCAAATACACTAAAATTGGAATGATACAGAGAAAATTAGCATGGCCCCTGCACAGGGATGACATGCAAATTCACAAAGTATTCCATATTTGTGGAAATAAATGTTTGTAAATAAATAATTAATTTTAAAAAGTGGCAAATGTTGGAAAGGATGTAGGGAAATTAGAACCTTTATATATTGCTGGTAGGAATAGTGATTCTTCAGAAAGTTAAATGTAGTACTAATATGTAGCTTATTAATTCCATTCCTATATTCTTTCATATCCAAAAGTTGAAAACATTGATTCAGTGATACCAATCAGTGTTAATTGCAGCATTACTTACTAACCAAAAGGTGTATATAGCCTAAGTGTCCATCAGCAGATGAAGTGATAAAATAATGTTATGTACCTAAAATGGAATATTATTTGCCCATAAAATGAAATGAAATTCTGAAACATGCTGCAACATGAATGAACCTTGGAAATATAAGTAAATTAAGCCAGACACAAGTGGGCAAATATTTTAGTGTCTACACTGATAATGAAACATTCACAATAGGCACATTCATAGAGATGGAAAGTTGATTTTAGATTACAGTGCAAGGAGGTTGGAAGGAATGTTGAATTGTTGCATTTCTGTTTGAGATGATGAAAAGTTTTGGAAAAGGTGGTAATGATTAGATGCTTGCAAAACATTGTGGCTCTTTTAAGCCCACATAGCCATTTTAATTTTTATGTATACGACTATGTGGCCTTAAAAGAGCCTCAATGTTTTGCAAGCATCTAATCATTACCACCTGGATTTGGAGGCAGAGGCTCAGTTAGAGGCTGAGGCAGGAGGATTGCTTTGAGTCCAGGAGTTCGAGGCTAACATAAATGACTTAGCAAGATCCCATCTTAAAAAGGCAAATATTGTTTTATATATATTATAACACTAAGAAATGCTCTAAAAAGTGATTTTAAAATCATGTATTTGAGATATTTTTTATCATATATTTAAAAATCAGTTTTGACTGTGAATTCTTTATTGTAGAATTCACTGAATAAAATTCACTTGTAACTGTAGTATAAATAATTGCTTTACTTTTAGAGTCATTCATAAACTTGGGCAGAGTGGCAAAAAATTTGACTTGCCTGGCAGTTCCTGTATTTCCAGCTGAGATTGAACAAGGCACTGCTCTGCCTGTTTTCAACTCTTTCATTGTAAACAAGTATCCTCTTTAGTGCCTTTTGTTGGTGATTTCACTATTTAAAATGACCCCCAACTGAAACACCTAAATGCCCTAAATGCCCTCTTGTGTCCTTAAAAGCACCAAATGTGTGCTTTTATGGGGAAAATAACTTAGAGAAGCTTCATTCAGGCTTTAAGTTCCAGTACTTAGGCTGTGAATTCCATGTTAATGAACTAGCAATATTGATGATTGAAAATATTGTGACCAGAGGCTTGTAGAAACCTAATCCTGTATTTCCCCAGGACCATTATTTAGAATTTACTAATTTATTGTTTGCATCAACTTTGTATCACCTAACTACTCTGAATAATGAGAATTGACCCAATGTCAGAGCAAATAAAGTCTTTTTCTTGGGGAGGGTATGTGTACTAGAGATAAAATCCTGGGCCTTGTGCATATTAGGTGAGCACTCTCCCACTGAACTATACCTCCAGCTCCTAAAGTCATTTTTTTATGTAAATGGAAATACTACTTTGAAGCCTATTTAATCTGATATTAATGTAGCCACTTTTTTCTTAAAATATTTTTTTTTAGTTGTTGATGGACGTTTGTTTTATTCACTTATTTATATGTGGTGCTGGGGATCGAACCCAGTGCCTCACACATGCTAGACAAGCACTCTACCACTCTACCCCAGCCCTAATATAGCCACTTTTTAAAAAAATATTTGTTTTTTGATTGTAGTTGGACACAATATCTTTATTTTCTTTATTTATATTTATGTGGTGCTGAGGATTGAACCCAGGGCCATGCATGTGCTAGGTGAGCGCTCCACCACTGAGCCACAACCCCAGTCCCCACCCCCCCAGCCACTTTTAAAAAGAAAAAAATGCTTAGAACTGTGGGTATATATAGCTCAATGATTGAACACTTAACCTACTACCCATAGGACTCTGGGTTTGATCTCTAACACTGCAAAAACAAAACAAGCAAGCAAGCAGCTGAAAAAACCTTTGGGAATCAGAGTCGGGTGTGTTGCAAGTTTGAGGCCAGCCTTGGTGGCATAGTGAGACCCTGTCTAGGTAGATAGGCACACTGGGGATATAGATCAATTGTAAAGTGCCCTTGGGTTCTAATTCCCAGTATCAAACAAACAAAAACCTACCAAAAAAACCACCTAAAAAAAAAACAGTTGGAAGGTAGGTATGTAGTAGCTCTGTGGTATAGTGCCTGCATAGCATCCGCAAAGCCCTGAGTTTGAGTTCCAGAACTACAACCAACTCACCCCATTCCCCCTCTTAATTGACATAATTCACAAACCATATTTCAGACATTTGAAGTATATGTTTTGGTAGTTGTATGTTCACCGAATTGTGCACTATTGCCACAGTCAGTTTTAGAATATCTTCATTATTTCCCATAGAAATGGTTCCCATTATTGATTATTTCATATTTATTGCTTCACCCTCTCCCCATATACCTGTGAAGCTGTTGTCCACTACAGTGTGGAAGTCTCATGTCTCCACAGAGGGCATTGTCTTGAGCATGAGCTATAATGAAAAATGATATAATTACCTGAGATATAATGATTTTTGTCAGGGTTCTCCTTGACTGTTTCTCTTATCTCTATTAAACTCTCTCCCTGTTGTTATCATACCTAGCTGTTAGGCTCTATTAATTGTTTTGATTACTCTTTTTTTATCAGTTTATTGGGACAGAAGTTTTTCCATAGACTGTTGTGATTGATCCTTCCTCCACCCCTCATAGGTTTTGAAGTTAGTTTTAGGTTTCTTCTGTCCCTAGCAGAACTCTTTAGAGATCTTTTTGGTTCTGTCTTGTAAAGTAGTTTGCCCCATTGTTTAGCTTGCTATTCTTATGGAGCTATCATCTTCCTTTTAATTATTTGCCACCCAAATTTCCTGTTTTTAAGAGTGCCCTTAGGCTTGAATTTATCCATCATTCTGTTCCAGCTCTTTATTCTTATAGTCCTCATTTTCTCCTGGAAAATTAAGTCTTTGAGCCTCTGCTTCAAAGTTGTTGCTGGAAACAATGATCTACTTTTTGGGGGTGACATGAGCAGTTTGTTGGGTTCAGTAGTATTTGGTCTCATTGACTTGCTTCTCCTGGCATGGATCCAGGTGAGCTGTTCCAACATGTTTTGGCTATCTTTGCTCTAGGAATTGGTATTGGTTAGAAGAAGGGAGCTTGTAATTTCTGGGTACACACTGTTTTGAATTTAGCATTTGCAGTCCAGGGCTAGGAGAGAGAGAGAGAGAGAGAGAGAGATAATTTTTTAATATTTAGTTTTTAGTTCTCGGCAGACACAACATTTTTGTTTGTATGTGGTGCTAAGGATCGAACCCAGGGCGCACGCATGCCAGGCGAGTGTGCTACCGCTTGAGCCACATCCCCAGCCCCACTCAATAGTTTCAACAGTGGATTTATTATTTAGTAAATCATGTTGTAAAGAGATGTATGTTATCCAGATTTTGTTGTTCAGTTTAGAGTACAGGTAGTGTAGATTTAATATGAGTTTTAAATGCCCTAGGATTTTTGCAGTGGTAAGTGAGGATTGGCTTCACTTTAAACTTACCAGTGCCATTAGCCCATAATAAGAGAGTCAGCCTGTTCTCAATTTTCCTCTAGCTATGAAAGTCCTAGATAGTGTCTTCTTTCTGTAGAATTGTGCCTAAATTGAAAATCTTTTGTTTAGCATATCCACTTTCATCAATTATCATAGCCAGATCTTCTGGATAACTTACTGTATATTCTAAATCAGCACTTGGTGCTGTTTCACCTGGTACTTTTATGTTACAGAGACAGCTTCTTTTCTTAAGTCTCATTAACCAACCTGTGCTATTTTCAACTTTTCTTTTGCAGTTTCATCACCTCTCTCAGCCCTCATAAAATTGAAGGGATTTAGGGCTTTGCTCTGGATTAGGCCCGATTTAAGAGAATGTTGTGTCTCGTTTGATCTTCTATGCAGATTGCTAAACCTTTCTCTGTATCAGTGATAAAACAAGGCTGTTTTGCTTTCCTATCATTTGGGTGTTCATTGGAGTAGCACTTTCATTTCCTTCATGAACTTTTCATATGTCTCCACAACTTGGCTAACTGTTTGGCACAAGAAGCCCCAGCTTTTGTTCTATCTCAGCTTTCAAAATGCCTTCATAGGCTTGATCTTTTAAGTGGGACTTAAAGGGTAACTCTTCATTTCATTTGAACACTTCAAGGCCATTGTAGGATTTTTATTTGCTCTAATTTCAATATTATTGTGTCTCAAGGAATAAGGATGCCCAAGGAAAAAGCAAGACTGGGGCTGCAATGGTCAAATCACACAAAATTGATTAAAGTCACCATCTTATGAGTGTGGTTTGTGGTGCCCCAAAAGCAATTATAATAGTGATGTTTAAAAATCACTGGTCACAGGTCATAATAAAAGATGTAATACTAATGAAAAAGTTGATATACTGTGAAAATTTAGGAAAATGTGACAGACATGAAGTTAAGTACATGTGTTGGAAAGATGGCATTGATAGACTTTCTTGATACAGGGTTGCCACTAACCTTTAATTCACTGTGAGTGCAAGATTATATGTACACATTTATTAGACCATTTAATTTTCCTGTAGGTAATGAGTCTCTGCTTTTCTGTTTTATTTTGTTTATCTCCATACTATTTTGTTTTTCTGTTTCCCCTTTATTTCACCAGATTTTTCCTTACATAGGTTTGAAGGTGAATTATTAGGTGCACATATGGTTTTAATCATATCTTCCACATAATTGATATTTTTATCATTATAAAAATTTTTGTTATTTTTGTGTACAGCTTGCTAGGCAAATACTCTGCTACTAAGCTACATTATATCCCCAGAACTTTTATGACATAGGGTCTTGCTATGTTAACTCACAATCCTCCAGCCTCAGCCTTCTGAGTAGC